TATTATACAGTCTATGATTTATTCTAATAAAACAGCTGCCGCTTCTCCATGTGATCTTGAGCTAAAGAACTGAAAGCGGTGGACTGTGGCACAATAAAAGCTCTGCTGCTTTTGGTGACGCATCACGCTCATCTCTTATCAGCACTTGCTTCAGCATTTCTCGTTTCTCTTCACAGCATTCAGCCCTGATCACACCGAACGTGTTTTTTGTGTTGAGAGGGCCTTTTGCACTCGTGGCCGTCAACATTTCACACACTGCTTATGTGCCCTGCACGCCTCACGTTCTTGCCGGAGCGCTCTATGCGCCTGCAGTTGAAAAAAAAAGTAAATTCTAAGCATGAAAACTGTCAGTCACGTCTTTTTTTCATAGTCCAATCAAATGAAAGCAGCAGTGACAGCAGTGTTTGTGTTGTGAAGACGCCTACTGAGACTTTTAAAGATGGAGAAGAGACTAGCGGTCGCTGTTTCGAGGTAGCCGGAGCTGTATGACTTCAGAAATCATCAATATCACAGTATTATTAAATATTATAATTATAACAACATCAACAGCCACGCTCGCGCATAATACACAGCTGATTTAGTTGTTGCTTAAGCCTGGTTTATACGTCTGCGTCAAGTGACCGGCGTAACCAACGGCGCATGCAACGCGCGTAGCTGTGCATTTATTCTTCTGCGCGGCTGCGCGCTGTCTCTGTTGTTCTGCATTAACACTTCCGAAACGCTAGTTGGCAGTGAGGTGTTAATGTGTCTGTGTCCAGTTTCTTCGCCTGTGTTTTGTTCTTTCTGAACGCTTCCAGGATGTACAAGTAGCTCAAACTCGCTCATTTTGAGGCAGGAATCGGCGGATGTGCAACAACTTTAACTATGAGGTAAACACAAGACACAGAACTTTCCATCCGGAGCTCCTTCACGGGACTCCACACTTGTAAACAATCGCTCCATTGGGCTCGCTGCGATCCAAGGCTCTCTGTCCCGCCCAGACTCGTCAGCGCTACCAAGCCGACCAATCAAAGAGCTTTCGCTACGCGTCGTTGCGACGTGTAGTTACATTTTTTGAGAGGTGCACATCAGCGATGCAGACGGCGACGGCCACGGCATAGGGCAATGCGTCGACACGTAGACTGCGCCATGGCAAACGCGTGCGTTTGACGCAGAAGTATAAATCAGCCTTCAGTGGCATAAAATACGCAGCACACTGCTTTTTTTCTTCTTGTCAACAAAAAAAATCGTTGCTAGTTGTTTGGCATCAGCTTGGTGTGTCCTTGCCTTTTAAAGTAGTTTAGCTACCACAACTCCAATCATTCCACTCACTCCATTATCCAGCTACAGCTTTGTTTGTTGTGAATACACTCCCTCTAGTGGCGAAAATTACACAATGTACCTTGAAAATGTTTTCTACTTGCAGGTTTAGAGGAAATCTTTACAATTGCAAAAATCAGCCACACTTTATTCATGCTGTTAGCAAACCATTAACTAATACTTTTAGCTTAATAAACTGCTAATTAGATGATTATTAATGTTTCGTAAGCTAGTAGTTGTGTTTAGGTATTGGGTAGGATTAGGGATATAAAATAAGATCATACTTTATAATGAACCCCTATCATCTTAACAATAGGCAGGTAATAAGTCAGTAGTAAATGAGGTATACCGATAACCTTACAGTGAAAGCCTAATCTGAGTATTTTCAGTTTCACAAGGTTGTTTTTACAGCATCAATGTTGTAATGTAAATACAATACATTCAGTTAAATAGACTTAAGCATTCATTTAGTTGTTCAAGCATTAAATGAGATGAAAGACTGTTAAACTGCTAGCGCCATCATCAGTCAGTTCAGGCTAGGGCAGAAATTCCATTGAATATGCTGGGGTAATATAAACAGTCATATTTTAAAGACATAGCATGGGGGGGAAATGGAGTTTAATGCAGTGCTTCTTGTCCAATCTGAGACCCACTTCATATTGTATATCTAACAGGCAGTGAAGATCACTGATTTTTAAAGAAATCAGATCTTAAACGTGACAATTTTTATAATGGAAAGACATTTTACTGGAAGCCCTTGGGCTGCCTGGCTGAAAATTAAAAGTGTGTGTGCATGTAGCTCATTGTTACCCAGATGTAATCACTCACTAAAAGTTGTACCTCAGAATTACATTGTTACAATAGTAAAGTTCCAATTGCAATCCGATAAGCAACAATTTTAGTAAATATAGTACACTGACAGCACAAATAAAGTCGTTTTATAGAGTGTCATGTGCTTAATAAGAAAGCTTGTGTTTGGTGTACCTCTTTGCAGATTTCCTCGGTGGAAAATAGTTCCCCATTATTGATTCCTTCCTCTGCAAAGGGTTCTTCGTATGTGATGTCTGAGGAACAGTTGATGAGACACGAAAAATGTTTAGCTTCTCTTTCAAAATTAAAAGTAATTAATTATGTGATTAAAATAAGGTACAAAAAATGTTTTATTAAACCTAAAATAAACCTATTATTTGCTGTTAACCAT